AAATCTTGAAAAAAATTTGACTGTTTCTGGTGATACAAATTCATATAATTCTTTTTTTATAAATGTTTTTATACCCTCTTTACTCGAAACAATTTTTTTTAACTGTATCATAATTGTTCATTGATTTAAGTGTTTCGACCATTTTAATTTTAATTTCGGTTGGCACCCAAAAATCAAAAAATGATAAGGCTATACTTTCCGGCGCAAGATACCATAAGTGTCCACAAAATTTATGTATAGCTGTTTCAGAAATAGATTATCTGGGATTCGATTAATTTTTTTAAAAATATGAAGTCATTATAAGGTGCTTTGATTGCAGCAGGGCATCTAAACCATGCTTCTACGTATATCGTAACTAGAAAAATACATATATCTCGAAATGCATTTTCTTCTTGAACATCAAGTTTATATTGTTTTCGAAACATATATATTTTGAATGAATACATTTTCTTTGACATCCACCTGGCACGGTGAAAAGTACCAGGATAGTGAAACAATATACCGTTTGGTAGGTTTTCACCTGGAAAAATAACAGTCAACTCTAGAAGTTCTTTGTAATCATCTCTACATTGTTTTTTTTTTAAATTTTGTAAACAGAAGTCTATAATTTTAAATTTATTAGTTTCAACTGTAGATTTTACAACTGCATCATTTATTCAAATTTCATACTTTTTTAGTAAATTTCGGGCCAGACTTGTTGGAATTTTTTAAAAATAGGAACATCAGGACCAATAGTATTTATTTTTAATTTAACTTCAAAAACACTTCTTAGCACTAATTCGAATATATGTCGTCTATAAGGTAAATATAAAAAATTTCGTCCTATCAGTTGTTACAATATAATACAGGCTCCATTTAACCGACCTGTGTTTGATGCCATCGTGTCACAACATAAAGCTTATACTTTATTTGTTACACCACAATCATTTATAATATCAAATATTGCATTTGCTTGTTGTTCTCCAGTACCACTTTTGAGTTTTGGCACACCAAGTAATTGAATTATTTCCTCTAAAGAAACAATTACAGGTAACCTATCTACTTTTGATTTTCCATATGTTATATCTGGTAGAAGTTTTCCATCCTAATATAAGACAAGAGACTCTTTTCCTAGCAAATTAAATTTTTTTTGAAGTTCAATCGTTTTATTTTCTCAAAACCTTATTCGATCACGTTGAATTGTTGATCGATTTATTATTAATTTAGAAACATCATTACCTAGGGTGTCAGCAGTTAATATTATTATGTGAACAGCATCACGATCACTCAACTTACATTTATCTAATGTAGTGAGTAGTTTAGGAGTCATAAAATCTCTTGATCCTCTCTGTTTCTTACTATATGATGGACTTGGTGGACTAGGTGTTATGTTTTCTTCTTCTATATCAACCTCTTCTTCAGTTGAACTGTCATCAGTATTGAAATATATTTGTACAGTGTGATCTAAACAAATTAAATTTAAATATACTTTCAATTAATAAAAAAATACTAAATAGTAGTTTATAATATGTTATTTAAATTGTAAATTTATCAACATTATTTACCTAATTGTTCGACTTCTATTTTCGCTCTTTTTCGACGTTGTTCGGTTTTATGAGAATTAACAAAGGTCCTGTTTTCTTTTTTTTGCTAAATTTCAATCAGTTCTCAACATGCATCTCGATCGTCCCTTTTCTCATTGCATTAGTAAAAAATTTTTATCTTCCTCAATTTTTATCATATTTAATGCATTTGAATGGGATACATCAAATAAGTTATTTAATTTTTCCTTGAACTCATTGACATTTTTAGTATTTTTTTCTGATGCTCTTTTAGCCGATTTTTGTAATTCTCGTAAGTTTTAATATAATTTTTCCAATTTTAAAATACAATGCTGTTCATCTTGAACTGGTATTTTTGATTTTTGCCAAAATAGTAATATTTCTTTAAATACCAATCTTGCACTTTCCCGCAAATTCAATTTTACATGTCTCAAATTATAAAATAGCACATTCAAAACTTGTTTGATAGATAGTAACTTACTGTCAATGATTTGGTTGTTCACATTTCCAACTAAATATACTTCATCATGCGTACGTGAAACAACATGTGATGACGATGAAGCCATTTTATAATAAATATTCAATATTAATTTATAGAACTATGCATTTTTTTCAAAATATTATTCGTCAATAAAATAATGTAAATCATAAATACTATACGGTATCACGATTTATGAACATTGAACAATGAACAGTACATAAACAGACCATTTTGCACGATGTGATAGTATGTAATAACTGAATAAGAAAAGCTCGATAAGAAATATAAAAATATAGATATGATATAATTTAATCTTCGAGCGGGCGCACGGATGGTTTTTACACAAATATAATTGTAAAATTAGCTTTAGTACATTAGTTTTAAACAATTTTACTTTATTTCATCTTTGAAGATTTGTAAGTATGTTATCGTAAAAGTAATTATATAGAGAATATATAGAAAATTTCGATTTTATTTTCAAAAAAAGGTAATAATTTTTATTTTATTCTAATTTTCACAATAAGTAATAGATTTACGAGAAATTTTGTCTGAACATTTTTTATAGATAATATCTGAATCTACAGTTTATGTTCTATACAATTTCGTGATAAATGCAATATATAATGAATTAAATCAGAATATCCCTAAAACTACCCTATTTGGTGAATATTCAACCCTTTTGCGGTACCTAAAGGGGATTATTAATCATTACCAAATTTTACACATATAACTTTCGTATGGTAATGAAAAAATTGGGAGGTTGAGAAATTAAAAATTTGAAAGTTCATAAATAAGGGCCATCCTAATATATATATATATATATAAGAGCAAAGCTATAACTTTTTTTAAGTAGTATACAATTTTATATTTTATATTTCACTTAGAAACACATATAATATCTATCATATGTATTAGTCTAATAATTTATTCAAATGATTAAACATTTTTGTTGTTTTAATTATGGGCAATATTATTTTTATCATCATAAGAAAGAAATTCTTTCTTATAAATACGTGATTATAAATTACTCTAATATTAAATAATTATGAATAATGAATATAAACATTTTTATGGTATTTTCTTCAGTATCAAACCAATGCAATGAATACAAATATCAATTGAATTAATTTATCTGTAAAGTAAGTAATTCAAATATCGTAATGCTTTTTTACTAGAAAAAATAAGGGAGAAAATTATAGAATTTTTTTTTTTTTTTTTTTTAAACACCCGATAGCGATAAAACCACTTTATGAATAAAATAAATATTTTTCGCCTTTGGTCTTTGCTCATGATAAAAACATTGTAAAATCTTACTTTTTCGTGGAGTTCAGTGTGTGGAAACGAACAATATCAAAAATGGCGCGTGGATAAGTGCCTTTTGTTGCTATTATAGACAATGCACGAAATGGTTTCTAAATGTTATTTATGCTACAACATTTTGTTCTAATTTATTTTTCCCAATAGAATAAAATACGAAACAATGATCATTCATAACAAAGTACGTATTACAGTGTTGTCGTATGTAGGTTTTACAACTGGTAATATATTCTTGAAAAAATAGTTTATTTTTATATTTTTTTATGTTATTAACTATATACAATATTAATAATAATAATAATAATAAAAAAAAAAAAAAAAAACATAAGTTAATGCAATATACTTCTATCAATAATAATAACAATAATATAAAAATATATTATCATTTATAAAAATAACATTATATATTCTTTGTTCCTCTAAAATTAGTATTAACTTATATCATATAACTAGGTAAAGTGTGAAGGTTTTTTTTTTTATTAAATCTTTGTATCGTTTATACCTTTATATATATTATTATTTTTCTTCTTTTGTCTCAAATTTTTGTTTAGTTTATAGCCTTTTACCACTACTACTAGTTGGCCGTTTATATTATTACTATTATTTATAGTAAATTTAAGTTTTAAAAATGTATGGATAGTTGAAGTTCACGAAAAACGGATGCAAGAGAATATTTATTTTTTCTGTATAACAACTATAGTCTAGTATCAAAGTAATATCAATACATTTTATAAAATAAACTAAAAATACTAAAACTATTTTATGCTTTGGTATCGACTACAAAGTTAAGATCTGGATACTTGATTAAAACTAATCTGAAAAAATATATTTTTACATTTTTTGCGCTTTGATATAAAGGCTTAGCCTAGCATATAAGTGATAAATTATAATATTGAACATTGCCACATTCTAAAACATAATTCAAAGTAAAGTTTTTTTGGTTGTGAATTTAATGCTACATTATATAATTAAATTAATTTAGTTAAAAAAAAAAAAAACGTTGGTAATTATATTTTGCGCAAAAGAAATAAATTATGAGGCTCCAGAGAAAACTATGTGAAACCATTCCTGTTTAAAATTATAGTGTACCTTATCACGAGGATGAGAAATAATGAAACCAGGTTTTAACCCATTGACCGAAACCCGAAAAACATACGATTAAAACGCGGTCTTAACCCGGTAACCAATACCTCGTGAAAAGTCAACAAACTTTGACTCCTTGGTTCAAAATATTAATTTGTATTGAGATTTCAGTTGCTAAAAAAATGAAAGGCGATACTACCTATGTATGAAAAGTTTTGATAAAATGCATTATAATATAATTTTTGAATAATATTTGTGTTTCCGTAGTGAGGATAATTTTTTTTTCAAAATTAAAGAATTTTCATTGTTATTTTCAAGTCATATATTTTTATCAATAAAAAAAAAATCTTTTAAATAAATGGTTAACTTTTTAATTGACTATAAAATATAAACTGTTCTTAAGTGTTGAATAAATTACGTATAATAGGCTAATTTATAAAGTAACAAAGCTTATGTTTCATTGTTACACCGTGAAAACTTCTACTGCAGTTCATTTTTTTTGGTCGAGATAGATGTCGCTCTTCGAATAACATGAAAATACGCGAGTGTTCGCGTCTCAAACCCAGCAGTCTGTCGCCACCATTCTATCTAAAAAGCCGGAAAACGTTCAATGTATCTCGCGTGCACGATAGCGATATGTGGTTAGTAGTTAAACATTTTCTTTGCTTAACGTCCAATTCGCTAATTTTTTTCATATCATTTTTCATGTTGTTAAGCTCTTAAGGTTGGTAAATTTATTTTATATAAATACTATTAATATAAATAACATGATATTTGTGATCTTATATTATGCCATAGAATAAGTTTTGCCGGGGTTCTTTATAGGCAAATATGATACAAGCATGTGTATAGTAATTCATTTAATAACTAATAATATAAATTAATTAATTAAATAGTTATAATATATTGTAATCGAATTATACTAAATCGATACAATTTTTTAAAAGTATAAAAAATTGTAATTTTAAGTGCTCTAGTACGACTACAAATATAGGGATTCAACGATTTAAGAAAACATTGTAAACATTTTATAAAACTTTATAAAACGTAGAATCAATGTGGCTGAGCTATAATTCGAGAAAATGTTTGAATATCCTAATTGTATAATTTATTTAGAAAAGTTTAATGACGAAAAATATAATATAGTAAATAATGTGAACTTCTAATACATGCGTGGGAATATTATATAAATAAATTTGTTTCTTAGAAAAAGTTGTAAGGTTAATATTAAAACTTAAAACAATTTTTAAAAAAATATAGTTCTCAAAAAACGTTATTTCTACTACTTTTTAATAAAACACACATTATGTAATAATTGCAAGGTTGGGCAAGTTAACTAATTATTTTAACTCGTTAAGTTAAGTTAATACAGAAAGATGTAAGTTATGTTTAAAGTTAAAATTTAGTTTTCTTATTTATTTAACTCGTTAAAAGTTAAAAGTTAATTTGAAAAAAAAGTAACTTAACTTAGTTAAAAATAAGTTAATTTTTTTTTTTATGTATAATATATTATCATACATTTTTATCAAAGCTTAACAAATAACACAATATAATGGAAGTCTAACTATTTTCAATAAACATATGTAATTATATTAATTACAGTAGGTACTTAGTAAGTACTAAATATAATTTTAAATATATGAAATTTATATTAGGACAAATTAATAAATTAACTCGTTAAGTTAGAAGTTGTTTAAAAAAAAAAGAAACTCGTTAAGCTGGAAGTTACTTTTGAAAATAAAAGTAACTCGTTAAATAACTTAGTTAAAAGTAACTTAACTTTTTAACTTAACTTTAACTTTTTAACTCGTTAATGCTCAGCCTTGAATAATTGTATGTACTTAAATGTACTTATTTAAAATTTTAAATACCATAATTATTTTTAAAGATAACTAACCAAAATTGACCAAGTTACAGCAATTTAACCCAAAAACTGCAAAATGCGTGCGATTTTTAATTTTTCTGAATGTTACTCTAAAAATAATTATTCATTAAATAATCATTATGTTAAAGATAAACTTTTTATTAATATTTGTAAAATTAAATGTACGAATCGCTAATTTTAGTTTAAACTCAAAACTATTGAACTTATTGAATTCCAATTAGAAACGTGTTAGTACTAATGATTGATCGTTCACAAATTTAAAAAGACATTATATTTCTAATACATCCAACCAAGCAACCTACTCAAAAAGGCTATTCCTATGAAACTAAATCCTTGTCAAAATTAATCAAAATGAGTTTGAGTATCCGAAACCGCAATCGCTATAATACCACTAATTATTTCGTTAGTTTATGTTGTAAGTTATACTTAAAAAAATTCCTTAGTTTTTAAATTACTTTTATATAATTTCTTATATTTTTATAAACTTAGTACCTATTTTATATTTAATAATTTAAAATAGTAAAATTAAATTCTACTTAAACTAGTGAACAATAATCTGAACTATAATTCATCTATTACAGTGAGTTGTCCTTGTTAAATATATTGTTTATAAAAAGGTGTTTTAATAGTTTATTGAAATTGAGTTTTAATCAATAAATATCTCAATTGTTTTGATAAATTCTGAATAAAGAAAAGAAGATTTCGTTGAATTTGAGATTATTATATTTCAAATATTTTATTCAGGGAAACATATTGAGATTTCTCCTGTGTTAATAGAGATTTTTATATTTTATTTTTCAAAGAATTACAGTTTACAGAACTAGTAACATTTATTTTACACTGGCTTAGTAAATATGAATAATTTATAAAAAAATTATAATTTAAAATTTTTTTTTTAGTATATATAATCTATCATTTAATAGACCTTATTTTTTTAAAGTATTGATAGTAAACTTTCAATTTTCAACAATATCGTGATTTTTAAAAATTTTATTAGTTTATAAAAATATAGTACTATTCAGTAGTATGATTAGCTCATTTTGCTATGTGCAGTATTTTTATTTTTTGTCTATCTCAATGTAATTGTTGAAAAACTTATGAGAAAATTATATGAGCTGATTGTAAAATAAAATAATATTCAATACTAAAATTTTTCTGTTAACTTATAAAATTATAAGAAACCATACAATTTGTAAAAAATGAATATTGAATAGTTAATATTTTCAAAATAGTACTGCCCATGAAGACTACCTAACTAAATAACTAATATTTAACTTTGATGTTTAATAGATATTTGTTAAAATATCTGATTTCGTGAACATTTTACTTTGTAACGTTTATAAATCAATATATACAGAAATAAATAAATACAAATTTAGATTGGTGTATTATTATATTTGTAAAGTACGACCGGTTTTGAATTAAAACCATCATCAGGTACCTATATACAAAGTCAATAAAATCGCAACTCTGAGTCAAGTACAAACAAAAAAAAGTAGTGAATAATCTTATAATATGTATTTATTTTATGGTAAGAGTTTGAATAACCGTTACATTTTTAAGTTTTCTATAATTTTTCCTTTTTTTTTTCAATTATTTGGAATAATTTTGAAAAATTAAAAAAAAATTACTCCAAAAAATATCTACTAGAGCCAATTTTATATTTTTTACTTTTTAATGAGTAATGATCGGAATATTCCTTTATCTTGAAATCGTGAACACAAATACAAAGAAAAAACATCATGGTAGAATTAATAAATTCCTCACTTCATTCAAATCTAAAAATTACAATAAAAAATAAATTAATTTCAATACTATATATAGCTCACCACTTTTAAATTAAATTATTAATATTTGATTTAATTAATTAAACGTAATATATTAAAATTGTAAATATCGATAAAATGTCTTTAAGGCTTCTTTTATAATTGAGGTATTAAATGATAATTGATTTTGATTGTGCCGTTAGTTAATTTTTCATTTTCATCAATTTTATAACCTCAGTATTGAAGAATCTTAATTTTCTTGATTTATAAATGTTATTGCCTTATAAATATACATTAAATTATTGATACTATAAATATTAGTGATGGCTAATATTTAGCATTGAAGACATAATTTAATTTAGATAAATTGGCAATGATAATTTTTATTGATGATTACAATTGCTAAATGTTCATTTAATGTAGATCAAAATTATTGGTGTTAAGTTGAAAAATGTACTTATATGATTCGAAACATTATTTTTTACACTAAAATTATTTATGAATTTTATACTTAGTGTTTATATAGAAATAATAAAATATATTAGAAGTGTATATTTTTATCACAAACTGAGAATCGAGTATTTTTAATGGTTAATTTGTAATTTGTATAAACTACGGAACAATTATTTATAAAAATAATTTAATATGGTTTAATCAAAAGTCTTGTACTTTGTTTTAAATAAGATTTTGAGAATATTAAATTATTACTATATTTTCAACTAAGATTATTATAAATGTATTGATTTATTAAATGTATGATGAAACCCATTAAATTAAATTAAGGAACTAAAAAAAAATATCTTAAATAAATAGTAATACCTATTAAGTGTACTATCGTAATAATACATTATTTGTATAAATGTAATTATACTCAAAAATACGAATACTTTTTTTTAATTAAATTTCTAAATATAAGCTATGACTAAGATAATCAAAATTTTTTTTAAATTAAATATTATTTAAAATTCTAATATATTATCATTTTTATTATACTTTTTTTGGATATATGACCGATTGCAGTACAGAAAGTTTTATTTAAAAAATAAGTATGCTTAAATTTTATTATACATTCGTATTAGTTTTACAGCTTTAGAGAAAAATAATTAGTTTTTTTTTAACGACTGGTATCTACAATCGTCTTATTTATTACGAATTATTGTATTATTTATATAAGCTTGCAAAAATAAAAAATATGAGCAAGTAATTGTTTTATCAAAATATCATTAATATTATCCACAATAATTTAATGTAAAACAAAAATGAACTATTTAAAAAGTTTAGTAAGAGGATTTACTGCTTTTTACATTGTCTTACAATAAGTATACCATAAAAAGTTTTAGCTGTAGTTGTCTGTTAAATATAATCTTGCTTAAATTTAAATTTAGGTTTAGATATAGATTTTTAGTGGAAAAAATGGCTCGATTTTTGAGAATTATATTAGTAATTGTGTTTTTAGTTATTTTACGTTTTATCAATTTGAATTCAAAAATTATATAATGTAGTTGGTATTGTGTTAATACTTATCAAAAGTAAACGTTTTCGTTGCCTTAACGTTACTTTCTCAAAATATAATCTTCGGCGTTAACCTATAAATATTTTTGTTTAGATCCTTTTTGTTGCACTTGAATTTATAGTATTAAAAAATATTTTATTACGTTTCGTCTGATCCCGATCCCTTAAGTAATAGCCAATACAAAAGATTTATAGAGTTTAACTTGTCAGAGATTTAAAAGCTTCTCGAATATAATAGGCCCTAATTATTCCCAAGTTATTAGTAAATGAATTTATTTATTTTTCTATGTAACTTATTGGCGCTGAATTATATATTATAAATCTATTACGATTTTGTGTATTTTTTTGAGTACATAATGGGTGAATATAACTTGATTTATAGTTAATTTAAAGTTGAGAGTTTTAAATATTTGAAAATTTAAATTGACTATTTTTATTTATTTGTGTTAATATTTTAATGTGTTGATTTTAAAAAAATATAACTTGGTTATGAAATATTTACACCGAAAACTTTTCAATAAATCATTAATATTTATATTTTTCGACACGATTTATCGTATT